GTTCACGCCACGGTGGATGCTTGGAATAGACCTGTGTGTAGAGAGTCATGAGGAATCAATGATGTGCGCTCCGATTGTCACAGTACAAATAAGATACCGCATTAAATATTTGAAAATAATTCGATTACCGCGACTTTATAGAGAACGCCTTTAGTAAATTGATTAGTTTGAGAAAGTCTATCGTTTTTGTGAATATATTTTTCACTAGAACATATAATATGTAAGGAAGTTACAGGCAATAATAAAGATTTTAAATTTACGAGGTTTTGTTAAATTAATTTCAATAGTCGAACCAGATTACTTGTATTAAGTGGTTTCCGAACCTCAAACTTGCAAAGCGAATTTAATATTAATTATCGCAACTGAGCATTGTAATTGCTAAGTACCTATTTGACCAGCCCGTTGGCGCAGTGGTTATCGCCTCTCACTCGATCGAAAAGTGTGGGTTCGATTCTAACATCGGGGAAACATCCGTATAGCGAACTAATTTGTTTGCTCTGTGTTTGAGTGCTAAATATATGTATTCCTCTTTTTTTTATTGCTTAAATGGGTGGACGAGCTCACAGCCCACCTGGTGTTAAGTGGTTACTGGAGCCCATAGACATCTACGTCGTAAAATGCGCCACCTACCTTGAGATATAAGTTCTAAGATCTCAGTATAGGTACAACGGCTGCCCTACCCTTCAGACCGAAACACATTACTGCTTCACGGCAGAAATATGTAAGGCGGACCTACCCGCGCGGACCCACAAGAGGTCCTACCACCAGTTTAAAAAAATATTAAATTAAATTAAATGATATTATTTAAAAATGTTTGCAAAATTTACATAGTCTAGTGCTGTAGTTAACCAATGTGTCATTTGAAGTATATGAATTATGAGTGCACCTTTCATTGAAAAGGTCGCAGCTGCGAGACGACGCACATATCACGTTTTCATTTCAGTTGTATATCATACAAAGTATTTAACCTATTCTAGACCTTAAGCACTTAAAGGTAAAAGTGCTATTAAACTTTTGATATCATAGGACTACGGNACATAGTCTAGTGCTGTAGTTAACCAATGTGTCATTTGAAGTATATGAATTATGAGTGCACCTTTCATTGAAAAGGTCGCAGCTGCGAGACGACGCACATATCACGTTTTCATTTCAGTTGTATATCATACAAAGTATTTAACCTATTCTAGACCTTAAGCACTTAAAGGTAAAAGTGCTATTAAACTTTTGATATCATAGGACTACGGTAAATATACAGAAAGATGAATAATGTTAAGGACAACTTCCAAGGACGAATGACAGGGCTTAGCAGCGACAGAAGTAGCAATCGCTCTAACAATAATTTTAAGATCTGGCATAAATTTACAAGTAATATAAGTTACGAACTAATATAAATTTTGGGTGTCTCGGTCTACCGAGCATCCGCTTGGGTAAAGGCCTTGCTTTATCATAAAAAAAAAGATGTGTGGTGTCGTGGGACACCGGATAGGAACGAAGTTTCTTATTATAAAAAAAATAATTTTAAGTTCTATTCCAGGTATAAAGAAAATAAAACTGGAGGTTTCGTTACAACCCATGGTCATTCGGTAATGTGCCAACTTATTGTGGTACACTTCATTCACGGTTGTTTGCATAAGAGCTAGTGTATTGCTCAAACGAACGCTCTGAGGTCAATGAGTAATAAAAAAATATGTTCTTTTTTGTACGTTATTTCAAAGTTAAGTCGTACACTGTGTGCATTACTAATAAAAATCTTACGTTACGGACGTTTTTTCCCGGTTAGAGTTACCCCTCGTCGCATAATGAACTTCGTTTCAAAAAAACATTAAGAATAAACTTGAGATAATAATAAATAATAAAGTTAAAAAAGCACTCATTTAGGATAATCATGAAGTCGTCGTACCCTAATTGCTAAGATGTCTGCTATATTTGTATCACCATTGTGACTATAATTTTGTCTAGATTTCGTAGGCAAGTACCATTTTTTCTAGAAAATGCTTACTCTACACGTGATTATGAACGAATTCCACCATGAAGGAATAGTGACATGTTATAAATATGAATACTCAAAATTTATAAATTTGCGAATTCACTAGAAGTGCATGCTGCAAGGCTGCACGGGTAGATACCGCCATCCTGCCTATTTCTGCCGAGAAGCAATTTTAAAATACGGAACAACAATTTATAATAGAATTGACAAAGATACCACGTCTCAAGGTGGAATGGCAGTGATCAGTTTTGATATCTATAGGCTCCGGTAATAAATTAACATCAGGTGGATCCTGAGCTTGTTTGCGCATCTACGCAATAAAATAATTGAAACCGATCGAACATGAATTTAACCTTAACCCCATTTTACAAGCAGTGATTGCCTGGATCACTACTAGCTTTACGAACGAGCCGATACATTAAATCGTCTTTCAATCAATCTAGAACCATTAAGTGCAAAAGGCGATACAATTGTCTTCAACTCACAAAGAGACTTATACAAAGTTTTGTGCTGTACCGTGAATCCGCAGAGTAATCTCACGTAGAATTCACTGCACTGCAACTCCCTCTTTTCTTTGCAATGTCGATTAGTCGTTCGTTCGCTTTCAAAAGCAGACGTGGAAACGCTTTTACAGGAAGGGTTTTAGTGTAAATTTTCAACTCGGAGAAATTTGATTACTCGTAATTTCCATACTGATATTGTAAATACGAAAGTATCTCTGATTGTGAGTTAAGATTTCACGCCAACGTGACCGAATCGATTTTGACTAAATTGGTTAAGAAATGAAAGATTAAACTCTCGGAAAGCATAGATTTACTGGTGGTAGGACCTCTTGAGAGTCCGTGCGGGTAGGTACCACTACCCTGCCTATTTCTGCCGTGAAGCAGTAGTGCGTTTCGGTTCGAAGGGTGGGGTAGCCGTTGTAACTATACTGAGACCTTAGAACTTATATCTCGAGGTGGGTGGCGCATTTACGTTGTAGATGTCTATGGGTTCCAGTAACCAGTTAACATCAGGCGGGCTGTGAGCTCGTCCATCCATCAAAGCAATAAAAAAAAACCTATAAAAAAAAACTAGAGTGCCGAATCTTTTAAATAAGACAAACATGGATAAACATCTTTTGTTTGCTTCGGGTCAAAATAAACAGAACCCGCCGGGCTTACAAGCGTAAGTAAAAACGTATAGGATTATGGAAGTCAAGTTCAATAGAGAATACAAATTTGTCTACAGATGCCCAAATTTGATGTCAAGCACTTAATGAGATTTCACATAATACAAATACACACTTTTCCATCAAAATATAATGAAAATTTAACTCCGAGGAAGACGAACAATGTCATCTATCTCTTTGTGCGAAAAGAAACGTATGCACCGACTATTTTACAAAACAAACGTGTGGCATTCGGGAACTGCCGCAGTAATGCTATTGCATAGCATTTTTATCAACTTACGCAATTATAATTAGACAATGATAATTTAATATTAAAACAATAATAAAAAAAGACCATGCTATATTAAACATTAATAAAAGGAAAACATTAACTGTCCCCTTTACACTCATAAGCTAGACCGCGCGAGAGAGAGATGGGCAGACTTTTCATGATGCACATGCAGTGTGACGTCACGCCACGCGCTTATTCACAAACACTACACAAGCGCAACGTGTTGAACGCGAGCTGCATGGCAGACGGAGTGTGGGGTTTTAGGTTTTTTTCGTTACGGAATTTCATGATTCAGTCGCCGCGCTCAAGGCCCGCGATAAAAGCTATGCAATAGCTTAATAATAGAAGCTAGTAATCGCTGTCTTAAAATTATTTAAGTTTTTTAAATAACTCTATCCTTGGTCGTTTGTGATTTATATTTACGGCGTTCGCGCTGCAGTCTGTAAAGTGTTCGAATCGCTGAAGATAGAACTGTAAAAGCTATTTAATTAATTTAGAAAAGGGAATACATGGAAAACTGTGCAGAATTCAAAACCGTAATGCATTCAAACATTCGAAAGATAAATACAAAGCTGTAAAAGCGGATTTACAATTGCGAGAAAACCACGGTCACTAATAAAAACACATCAAAAAATTCATCAAGAGCACTATTTTAATATTATTGCATAAGTAATATTTTCAACGGTTTTTGCGAATTTTATACATAATAAAACTGCTTTTACGGTTTAATCTCGTTCTTTTTATTATCATTATATTATTTCCGAAGTTTCGAATACTTTATACTTTTTGTGGTTGTTCACTGTTGTTGCATAAAAGCCAATTTTCTTACAAACTTACGATTAATCAGTTTTGAGGAATCGGAATTTGTGATAATGCCCACTATTTACTGCCTCGTTCATGGTAAGTAACAGCTCACAGACGCTCAATATTAGCGTGGCGCGGAACTCTTACGGTATGAAAAGCAACACAGCATCTCTATCTGTGACGTCTACGTAACGTTGCCGAAGGGTTCGGACGCCAAGCGGGGTGAAAACCCTTTTGCGGTTGCATAATAACACAAGACACTGTCTCGAAACAAGGAAAATAAGAATCAAGTAAGGGGTTCCAAGGGTTAGAATCGTTGTAGAAGCGCAGTGTTTGAGAGTATGTTCGTCCTGCTCTCTCAGCGCCCTAGGCTGCGACGCGCAGTGACGCTCCAGTCGCGGTCTGCCGGCCGTCGCGACGCTTGGGGCCGCTCCGCCGACGCGCCGCCTCACCGCTTCATCACCCCGCCGCGTATGTGGAAAACGTGTGACATGCACTGCTGAACATCAGCGTCATTATCAGTCAGCACGAAAGCACCTGGTGCGGCGAGCCCCGTGACGCGAAACGACTTACCCACACATACACGTTTATAGTGCAGTGTGCCACTTGGGCATTAATTCAGCTGTGTGTATTTTGGATGTACCCAACCTGTCTGTGACAAATCCACTCGCTTCGAATTTGATTTTTAGAGGGAAAGCAAGAGGGAAGGGGTGCGATTTCGGTATGCTATCGACTCACTCACGTCACACAGTGTGCATTANCCCGTGACGCGAAACGACTTACCCACACATACACGTTTATAGTGCAGTGTGCCACTTGGGCATTAATTCAGCTGTGTGTATTTTGGATGTACCCAACCTGTCTGTGACAAATCCACTCGCTTCGAATTTGATTTTTAGAGGGAAAGCAAGAGGGAAGGGGTGCGATTTCGGTATGCTATCGACTCACTCACGTCACACAGTGTGCATTAATATTATTTTCATGAATAATTTCACAATTTCGATTATATGAAAGACACAACGAGTATAGCATGAAGTAGTTTAATTCAAATAGTACATTAAAAAACATGCATTAAAGGTTTACGCATTGTTGCTTGCGAGCTGTGAGTACTTAACATTACATTATTTAGTAAAGTGTCAAGGTCTTGGAAAACACGAAAATGGTTTTATGACTAATCTAGAATTTATATGTTCCATGATTATAATACTCAAGTTATTATACGACTTCGGGAATAAAGTAATCGGTGATTTTTTTTATAATACATTTATTGTTTAATACCGAAATAGGATCTCCATTCAATCAATGTTTTCAAATGAAAAAAGTTTCAAATATTAAATTCATGAGTTGGCATTTAAGATTTACGACTGGCCGAAGGTATTGATTTTTCTTGCTACTTGTTGATTGTTTGTTTGCTTTGACATCTTATTGCAAGAAATCATTCCAAATATTTGTGGACAATCGTGTATTTCCCGAGAACGGAGTAACTTTTGACGATTATCCCGCCGCTTAGCAGGTGTATCTTACTAAAACTAGCCTGATTCGTTAATTTATTAATTAATGTACACGAAAGCAAATCTTATCGAGATAACTTCCTGTCAAACCAATATTTTTCCGCGGTCGTGATGTTTGCCACATCTTCAAACGATACACGTAAAATCGACCCTGGGATGCGATAACTCGTGACAAAGTATTAGTGCTTATAATAAAACCGTTGCGTCGATACATACAGTTCTATTTGAATCACGTTTCATGGCGAATAAAAACGAGATTATTAAAAAAAATGTAGTTTCAGTTTCAAAAAGTAATCACTTAAATAATGTTCTAGTTGCGTGCGAGAGAAATGTTTAATTACTCAATTTATGCTATTCATGAAAACAATTTCTCTTTGTGTAATACCCGACAGAGCCACATACGTAATCTCATTCGGTCATTATTAAATAATAATTTGTACATCACGATTTCAGATCCGTATGCTTACTTACCTATTTAATAAACCGTAGCCACCGCAATTGAAGTTTGCAACCGCTAAACGAGCCGTAATTGTTCTCTTGATGGCTTCGTTCATAACTTGTGTTAGTCTTGTTTAGGTGCTCCATAATAATTTCAATCAATCCCTCATTGTTTTGTTCATTGAACAAATGAAAACGGAACGTTTTATCAATGAGTACATGACCGTTGTTCGCCAGAATAGAAACGGGAAGTTGTTAGACGTAGAGTGTATTTTGGCATCGTTATAATATGTCACTTGAAAATTATTTATATTACGGCCTTGACCGCGCTTAAACACATATCGATTAGATTCACAGCGTAATATTACTTATTATAAATGTCAAAATACATTTATATGACGTGCCTTTTATTTAGTTGAACACGTTTGAAAACATCTAAGTTAATGAAAATAATAACAGACCATAATAAACTGGTCTAATCTTAAACTATGAATAAAATATACATAGTAATTTTCGTGAGCCACAGAATAAACATGCGCCGTGTACATAATACGTCGACAATAATTCATCTGTGAAGATAATAACACACCATACATAATACTTTTAATACACGGATAATAATACTATCATAATCCTATCTTCATGCACAGATCCATCAGATACGCCGACTCACCTACACGCGTATAAAAACAACACTGTTTATTTGTTTGCATTCCATTGATTTATCGTATAATCTGCTTATCGAAACACTGAAATAACATTGTATTTTTTAACTTTGCGTAACATTATGATCGTGCATTTCAGACATGTTTTATGAACAATCTCTGGTATGTACAGATCATTTTTCACGAAATAGTTATTTGATGACATGAATAAGAATACTTTTTTAAATATATTTATTGTGAGTACTAATTGCATAATCAATGCTAATACCAACTACTAACTCATTTCTGCGGCCAAACTGTCCTGCTTGAAGAATATGATAGTGGTCTTTCAATGAAATTGGGACTTTAACCTCATTTCTTAAGGCGAGTGGTGGCATTTACGTTATAGTGTCTGTCTATAAGTGTCTGTAGTATCATAGGATATACTTCTTTAGGTACGCAATTAGCACCAGGAATACCTTGATTTATTTAAACAATAGACCAATGAAAAGGCGGTAAAAAACTTCAAATTGTCAAATACATGTAGTTTAATAACTAAAAAACACCGATAGCAAACCGAATTATTAAGTGATTTCATTTTTTTTTGTCCTGTTGATATAAGTCAATATTATTCATCATCATCAATATTAAAACAAAATTATAAAATTATTGTATTGTCATAGGTCCTTGATGCGTGTGCTAATTTGCATTTTAATTTAACGTTTTCAATTGGATAAAAGAAACGTGATTGGCGAAGCAGCTGCTCTTGAGTTAGAGGCACTCGGGCAGCTCTTAGCAAATCCCATCCCCTCTTGGCTGAGCCTTTGCTCGTCCACCTGTCGCGGTGAAACTGGAAAGGCCTCTGTGCCAACAGTATTCTTTAATTCAAAAAAAGGATGAAAACAATGGTGTTCAGATATTTCGTTACATACAAACAAACATACATACCAAGCCACTAAAGCGTTTTCAAAAGTCAATCTCGCTGAATATCGTCAGTTCTTCTCAGGACTGTGGCTCTTTTAATAACCGGCGGTAGAGTATAAATTCAATAAGTATGTCACATAACAAAACGGGAATGTTATATATGACATTGAATTTAAATCTACAAAAGGTAATTTTAGAAATTTGATCACGAAGTAATTTAAAATTTTGGAAATCCTTTTGAAATTTCCAAACTAGCAAATCATGTAATTTGAAATAGGGTGTGACATTTTTTTCGGTGTCTTTGTGCTTTGAAGTAGGGTAATGTTCTTTTTGGTTGGGGAGCGAAACAAAATTACAAAGTTCTCTTCAGGATAAGTGGGACGTGAAGAAATAACGAATGATCTCTTTAGCATAAGTATGGATATATAGTCGCATGTCTGGAATAGGATGAAGCTCTTGTTCACAAATTGGCTTATACTAGCTTCAGAAAATTAGGCGAAGGTTGGAATATACATATGTGTATGTATGATGGAAATGAAGATATAAAATAAATAGGACACCCAGTATACTCGTATACAAACATGCGATCATGCCAGCGATCAGAAATCGCATGCGGTTATTTTTTGACTGACGCAATTGCGCAGTAGTTAGAGTCGTTGACTGGTGGATCGACGATCTGTAGGTTCGATTCCAAGGCTGGGTAAACATTCGTATGACAAATAGATTTTGCTCGTTAAACTATTGCAAAGCTTTTATCGCGGGCTTTGAGCGTGGCGACCGAATCAAGAAATTCTGTAACGAAAATAAAACCTAACACCCCCACTCCGCCTACCATATAGTCACGTTCAACACATTCACACGTTGCGCTTGTGTAGCGTTTGTGAATAAGCGCTCGGCGTGACATCGCACTGCATGCGCATCATGAAAAGTCTGCCCATCTCTCTCTCTCGCGCGGTCTAGCTTATGAGTGTGAAGGGGCAGTTAATGTTTTGCTTTTGTTAATGTTTATAAATATAGCGTGGTCTTATTTTATAATTGTTTTAATGTTAAATTATTATTGTCTAATTATAATTGCATAAGTTGATAAAAAATACTATGCAATAGCTTTACCGCGGCAATAATCGATTTAAAAGAAAAGCTAAGTGAATATGTAACACCTTCATATTTTTTCATGAGTGACTTCCACGATGAAGAAATGACATCTTGTAATAAAATTTAATAAAAAAATGATGACCCAATGACTTGTGGAAGGGCGTGCAGCGCAGGACCGCTCAGTGTTACAGTCAAGCAGGCAGGTAGGGAATATTTGTAAACCCACATGGGTAGGTACAAACCATAAAACAAGCAAAAAATACATTTCTGTTTTTAATTCAAATTTTTAATTCATATATTTTTCGATAAGTCCACATTTCTATAATGCTATGTTTCGATATGAAAGAAGTATTATTTTTAACCGTGCATGTTTAATTACATTCATCTTTGAAATGCGTTTCGTTAATTTGAAATTATTTTTTGTTAATATTAGATATCTATCACGGTTTGTTCTAGGCTAGAACAACTAGAGCGCAACATTAAATTTATTTTTATAAAATATAATATTTTACTAAGGGACTGTTAACGAAGAAATTGTCTCAGAACTTAAACTGTGGATTCCATAGCTAGTACAACATCAATACCATTTCTTAAGGTTTTCGGATCAGACCGGAACGGTAATTAAATGATTATAATTACCCAAATTTATAACATTTTGCGGGCTTGATTTTATTTCACAATGTTATATAATAATTTTGGAAATTATCGTAATGATGTGTTAGGTTGTCATTTAGAAAAAATAGTAGCTTCTAAAACTCTAAAATTAAAATTATTTTTAAAATAAGTAAAAAATCTAAAATTAGAAATAAAACATTTCAAACGTGGAGTTAGTACGACTGTATTAACATTGTGCTGGTATTCACTGGATTCGAAACGATAAGGGTAATATAAAGACAATAAAAACGCGAGATGAAACCGTAAAAGTAGTTTAAATTATATCTACGTCTCGCGAAGACTGGAGAAAATATTATTTTTCTATTATTTAAAAAAATACTATCTTATTCGAATTTCAAAAAGATTTGTTTTAAAAAATTAGGCTACGACTCGATTTTAATATGGAATATGGAATTAGAACATTAGTTGGGCGACGAAAATAAAGCATGAAAGAGGAGTGCATGCGGCAGAAATGCGAATGTTGAGATGGATGCGTGGAGTAACAAGAATGGACAAGATAAAGAATGAGTATATCAGAGGAAGTGTGAAAGTAGCCCCGGTAAGCAACAAATTAAAGAGCGGACGGTTAGCGTGGTATGGACACGCTATGCGTAGAGAGAAGATGCATGTGACTAGGAGATGTATGGAAATGGTAGTGCAAGGTAGAGGGGGAAGAGGTCGACCGAAGAAAGTATGGATGGAGTGTGAGAATGACGATATGAGAGAGAGAGGAGTGAGTGTTGAGATGACGACTGATAGAAGAGAATGAAAGAGAAAAATTAGCTGTGGCGACCCCACCTAGTGGAATAAGGTGGAGAAAAAAGAAAATAACATTAATTGAAACATCCACGGTCCGTCTTTGAAAGAAACATAATTCGTGTGAAATTAATATTATTAAGATGATAATAACTATAATTAATCAAAAATGTACTCTGTGAACCAACAGTCAAATTGAACTCGGAGACTAATCATCGGAATTGGTTAATTAATAAGCTACTGTAAATTGACACAGCATTGCAATCATTAAACAATTACTTATCTTTTGGAGTGTTTCTAAAATAATTTGACTCCAAAATTGTAGTTAGCTTTTGAGTGAAATATTTCTTCTCTCGATTTTTGTTGGCAACAAATGCGCTTCAAAAAACTGTTGCTCTGTTCGAATTCGGCATCAAATTTACAGCAGCAAATACAAACTAATATCCTATGCTATGAAATCCACGTCTTGAGTTTACCCGTACGTTTGAAATTTCAATCATTACTATTATTGAAACGTACCTATTTCTAGAGGCTTGTTATTACACTTGCTTTGTACGTAGCTTGTCTCAAATGACATATTAAATTGGAACTCTACGTACATTGCAGAACTATATCGTTTGAAGCTAAAACATAAAACCACCGCAACGTGATTCGTTCGTGAATATTAACCGTGAGTGAGTGAAATCAATAGCATCCGAAACGTTTCAGATATGCATGAAATAAACGGTAATTGAACATTAAAGATAGGTATATAATAATGGGCTAAAATTGAAAACTGAGCGAAATTCGAAAGACCGTGAACAAAATTATAACAATTTTGGTGCTCTTTTATATAAATCGCAGACATAATATCCTATTCCTTGAGAATCTCCTTCCTTTTTTGTCCTTAGGCATTGAAATGTCACTCTGTCGAGTTTTAAAGAGAAATTCACATATCGATACTTTCCCATAATTTCTAGGTTTTTTTTTCAAGACTGATGTTTATGATAAATTGATAGCAACAAATCATTCTTGTGCGATCTTTATAAAAGTGCGAAAACATCTCGGAGCGGAGAGTTAGCAGCGCGAGTTAACTGTCGGAAGCTTCAATTGAGATCGGTGATTGCGAATGGTGATTACGGCGCGGGTCCGTATCGCATGCGGGTACGCGCTTGAGGTGTCCGCCGGGAGGGGCGCAGGCGCGTTGGTGCGGGGGCGCGCACGTCGCCAAGCTGGTCGGAGGCGGGGTGTTCCGTTGCTGCGTGCCCTGGTGCGGGGCGCGCGCGGCGGCGCCCCAAGACGACGCCGAACATGCCCTGCGAGAGTCAAGTCCTAAGCAGCTCGCCGACCCTTCCGGTAAGTTACACATTATTCACTACTAGTCACATAAGTCGTTGAAGTGTGTATACTTATATATTATAGCATAGCATAGCATAGCATAGCATAGCATAGCATAGCATAGTATTAGGATAGCATTTAGTATATAACATAGTTAATAGGTCTGATCTCGTATGTCCCCATAATAAGGCGGACCACCCAGAACACCTACAACATTACATCGTCTTGGCCTAAAGTTTCTTTTTTCTTACCTATGCTGATAGCATTAGCATAGCGTTTTGGTTTGAAGGGTGGGGTAGCCGTTGTAGCTATACTGAGACCTTAGAACTTATATCTCAAGGTAGGTGGCTCATTTACGTTGTACATGTCTATGGGCTCCAGTAAGCACTTAACACCAGGTGGGCTGTGAGCTCGTCCACCCATCTAAGCAAAAAAAAAAAAATTAACATAGAATTAAACCATTAAATTTTTATTACCCCTTTTGATGCATCTTTTGGGGTTGAGTGGTTACCGGTGTTGATAAATTTAAAAACGTTAATGCCACCAATCATTTTGAGACATGTGGTCGCTATCTCAACTGCATTGTAGTATACCAAATCTTGTATGCATTGTTGGTTCCTGGAATATCTGCAGTTAAAATCTAGCGATTAAGTAGTTCTTTAATTTTTAAATAATTTAAATGCAGATTCAGTAAGATCCATAGATTCATCCAAAGATAATACGAATGTAATTCATGGTCTCGATCTTGTTTTAAATCAGACACCTTACTTACACTTTATTCACCTAGCATAATGCCAATGATTTATTCTTTAATTTTGCCTTGAATTAAACTTCGAATCGGAAACTAATATAAAAAAAAAATCGAATAACTGAAACAACCGGGGATACTTACAAATATGATTTGCTAAGGCTTCGTTAAAAACAGTTTACAAAGACCCGTAAACAATACTCGAAACTAACTAAAATTAACTTCGCTATGTGTTTTGGGACCAGATGCTGCGGACCAGCATACATTGGCTCACTCGAGCGAAACTTGACAAACAAATGTTGAGTCTGCGTCTTTTCCCGTACATTCCCAAATAGGATTTGATTATTTGGAAAACCATTCGTCTTTTCTAAGATGCGGGCCATCGGGTTCGTCCAGAGTAAAGCTTGGAGGGCATTTTAATATACTAGTGCCGGTGTTAGCTAGAGATTACGATAATAATGTTAATTTTCACGTTTCTTAAGGATGGGTATAATAATATATACCATTATTAAATAGAAGGTATACTATTATTAAAAATATAAGTTTTGCTTTACATTTATGAAGCTATTGCATAGATTTTATCGCGGGCCTTGAGCGCGGCTTGAGAGCGGAATCATGAAATTCCGTAACGAAAAAAACCTTCCACCCCTCACTAGTACTCAGTACGCCTACTATGTAGCTCGCGTTCAACACATTCACACGTTGCGCTTGTGTAGTGTTTAAAGTAAGAAATCTAAACACCGATTTATGTACTATCAAAATATGTGATATAATTTCGTGGGTAACACAACGATAGCGCGATTCAGCTTTTGCGCCAAGCGCCATCTATCGGTGACAAACGGAATTGTAAAATAGAAAATTATATCACATTACAATGCGTTGGGCGTGCCATTTTCTATCGCTTAGTCGAAGAATAATAAACTAGCTAAACCGTTGATTCTGGGCGAATGAGAGTTAGAACTGGCATCCAAAGGCGTGTCTCTATCCCATGTAGCGCCCTCTAGTGAGTGCGCGGTCAAAATGGAATACTCACAATGTAGCAGATTCATTGAAAGTTAGCCCACTGAGTTTCTCGCCGGATCTTATTTTATTGTTGTTTTAATATTAAATTATTATTGTCTATTTATAATTGCATAAGTTGATAAAAAATGCTATGCAATAGCTTTACCGCGGCAGTCTCCGAGTGCCACACGTCTTTTTATATATTTGTTTTCTTCAAATAACACCTTCCTTAAATACTCGGGTTTTCTATAAACTAAGGGAAGAAGTTGCTCTATATCGGTTCGTGTAAATCTTTGGAAATTACCTTAAGTCGGCTTTAATATGAGAACAGCGACCGAAGTTTGCTAAACGACATTAAATTAGTGGGCCAAGTTAAAGGTTACATGGTGATTAACTTCGAACAAAATGCTTTTGTACAAGATCCATTACGGGAACGTTTGATACAGATTAGTCACGGAGGCAACCATCTTGGAATAATGAGGTAAAAAATCAATCATTATAAGGTGGATACTTTACGCAAAACATTTTGAATGTGAGCTTCAATCAAAGCGGTTCAAATGCTTGAAAAAAAAAAGAAAATTAAATAAATTTACAATTGGGAATTTCGAATTCTATTAGTGTAAGAAATACTATTTTTTGCCTTCAAGCTTAAAAATATGTATCATTTTTTTAACTCTGTGAAAGTAAAAATATACGAGTATGTTCGTCGTTTTTGCCACGGTTGAATTTAAAAAGTAATACGACATAATTATATTGTATTTTTTTCTGAACAAAAAAGTAATCTGTCATACATGAATCCATAGACTACTTCGTAATTTATTTGCATATTTAAGTGGTGCCAACACAGCAACAAACACATTTTCATATTTGTCACACTGTTCTGTTATTTTAGTCTGTTGTCATTAAATACATATATTGTATTTCGATAGTAATAGGTATTTGTGGGAATGGTCCTATTTAGATACGAATATGGCTGGGCACAGATTGCGTCATAATCGACCGTCACCTCTTTATGTCATCTTTTAATCAAGAAAAACTTTCAAAATCGAGCATGCAAATATTACTCGAGAAGTTAATGCGGATCGTTCTAACTTTACTAATGTCCATTTTAACGGACGCTAGCGAATTACCAAAGAAAATGCGTCAAAGAGAGGAAAGTTCACTAATTACTTCTCTTTCTGTTATAGACGTCACGCGGTATTACTGTTGATTCTTGACGTGACTAATTGCGTTATTGATCCATTTGAAAAGTAAACATAATGTGTTCACCGAGTGTAATAGATAGCTAGATAATTTTATGTCAATATTAATGACAGTATTGCCGTGCGCCGTAGTTGTAAATTACAATTTCCGCGTCAGAAATTTACAAATTTAATAATCACGACAAAATATGTATTTCGCAGTCATTGTTCGTTCATTGAACTTCAGGTTGATAAATTAATTAATTTTGGTTATAATAAATTCAAGTCAAATGTCGTCTAATCTAAAAGTTATAAATTTTGTAAATAATACCGAGATGTATGTAAATATTATGTTAAGAGATACTGATTTTTTTTCCCGGGGCCAATTTCTTCGATTTTTTTTTGAAGTCTAATTACAAATTAACTCTCAGCAGTACGTCAGATGTTAGTTTACTATTAATTTTACTTAGAATTTCGTAATTAATTCGTTCACTCACTGTCTGGATTCTTAAGATGTTTAAGACAAGAAAATTATGTAAGCCTTCAAATTGTCCGTTTACTTATCCCGAGCAATTAGTTTACACAGTATAGTTCAGTTGAAATTTGAAACGTTAAGTAAATATTTGGTTATAAATTGAATAAAATTATAACTTTGCAGATATATATATATACGGAATATATTCTATCTAAATCAATCATTATTATGTTATGTTAAAGTTGTTATTTTTTGTTTTTATATTGTATAAGTTAACAGTGAATGATAATTATATAATAAAAGAGAATGCCCATGGCATTAAGTCCGCCTGTGTACAAGTTTTGTTTTGTGCATAAAGTATAAATAAATAAATAAATAAATAAATAAATAAATAAATAAATAAATAAATAAATAAATAAATAAATAAATAAATAAATAAAAATAATTGGCAAAATTGAAAAATGTTAACATTCTGCTCGCGGTGGGGCTCCGAGGTGCGGATACGAGTCCAGAGAAGGTAGGCAGCGGCTTGGCTCTGCCCCTGGCATTGCTGACGTCCATGGGCGACGGTGATCACTTATCATATCTACAGGTGGGCCTTATGCTCGTCTGCTTACAAAGGCAATAAAAAAAAAGTAGTATACTTGGTGTCTTCGGCCCTCCATCATTCCCTTAGCGCAGAGATGTACATATTTATTCAAGTATACCTGACAGGCTCTTTTGAATACTAATAAAATGTAGTTTCATTGATAAGAAGTATCGGCAAGAAACTGAGGACTTGCTTTTTTCAACTAATATACACAACACATTTACTTTTACAGTTAAATCTCATGTTTATTAATGTCTCTGTTATTATTCATACTATTTCCGACATTTGCGACATTAAGTAGAGCCGTAAAAGTGGTTTTTGAATATTTCTACGACTCGCGAAATACGAAAAAAAATATTCCATCAACACACAGCTTAAAATCAGTTTTAATAATAATAGGTATGACTTAAATTAGAAGAACAATTCCGTTGATTTCCAACAACATTAATCCGTCTAGTAAGCTCGCTGTGTTACGAGTATGTACGGTATAAATTTTAACGAACTAACGGAAATATAAATTTTTGTATTACAAACAAAATATTTCACTGCTGCAGGCGAAAAGCGACCACTGATAATAAACTAAAAATAAAGTTGTAAGCGAAGATTCTACTTAAATAGATAGATAGAGATATTTGTCAATACTATCCAAGTAAATACAGATTTAGAGATACAAATATATTAAAGGTCTTAAATAAACCTTTGGTCAATTGAAAGATAATGTTTGGAAATACATATTTGAAAACAAATGAACGAGTAATTAATAACGAAAATTAAAGTATGCTCGTTTTGCGCCACAAAATATATTCAACAATAAAAAAATACAGTTAATCACCCAGCGCACCACTCTCATAAATATCAAATTACGGTGCTAATTTATAATTGAAGCATCAATGATGTACCAGAACGTGTCAATTATCGTTCGGTTTAC